GTTACAAGTTATTCTTTCTTTAGAGGACATTTGTCATGCGTTAATGAAGCTTCAGTGTTGTCTAGCTGAAAGGTTCTAGCTTATTTTATCAGAAACTTATCAACTGTTAGCAGTTAATAACTAGTGAAATTATCAATATATTATGGGATGTGTTTTCTATTGATATCAAACACYAGACRATCGTGATATATTGTTATAGAATTATGGACCAGCCCTACTAAAAGATGACCCATTTAAATTCAAGCATGGAGGTAAACTCTTTGGAATAAACATCAAACAAAATAAATTCAACAAAAACTGTGTGTTTATCTCTCATAAGGCTACTCAAAATTACCTCCTGACCACAAGTTATCTCTTAGCCACGCATTAATTTTTTTAAATCCAATGTGACTGAATGGGCTCCATTAGTTTTATTTAGTTATTCCAGCAGGGAAAAAAAGTCCTGATGACTCAGCAGTTCTTCCAGAATCAACAAACTCCACAGCAGACCAAACTAAACCTTTACCACCCAGCTAATATACAAGTAATACCTAACACATAAATAATCTAAATAATTACAGCAGAAATAATCCACTGTAACCTGTGAAGGTTAACTTGTTTGTTAATCCTGTGACCACTTCATTTAAACTGCACAGATCCTTTATGTTTCWAGAATTACTGATGAAATACCATTTTGTTTTTGGAAAATCTTCTTAAGGTGTGGACACAAATAGTGACAAAAAGAGTTAACACACATTAAAATAATCTGTTGTTTGAATCTGACACACAGAGACCTGGTGAGTGTTTCTCGCCTGCAGGCCTGAAAGAAAAACCCATTAAACGCGTCTTCCTCCCACTTTGCTTTGAAGCGACAGCCAGGCTGCTCTCTCTCCTACAGTTTGTTGTAAAACACAGAAGTGAAGGAGATTAATCAAAGTCTCTTGTTTGCTTTGTAATCAAGGCTTCCAGTCAATGAAAGCTGGGAAAACGACCTGCACCCACACAGAAGGAAGAATATCTTCCTTTCAGATTTAATTATTATAAAACCCTGGAACAGTAAACATGTTACACAAACCATCTTCCTGAAAATGCTCCGTTTTGATCTGCTATCTGTACAGAATGAGCTTTATTCATATGAGAGGTTTTTATTTTCTCTAAAGCTGAGTCTGATTCTGATAGAGAACATCTGTTAAAACAACTTTCAGGATTTTAACTGTGTTTTTGGACAAGAAAACTCAAAATAACAAATGAAAACTCAGAGACAATGCCAGGATATATTTAGCCCCCAACCTAACCAGCTGAAGGAATTAAGAGGTTCAGTTTTAGGCTCAGCTGAGATCACTTCTCTYTTTGGTAATAAATTCAAAACAGTCCAATGACTGACCTTTATTACTAGATTGGCCATTAACCGCTATGTTCCAATGCTCACCAGTCTGTCACTAAAATATTTGTATACTTCTTATCTGATTTCTATAAAATTATAAAGCTGATAAAATTGAATGGGATTAATAAAATTAATAAATTTATTAATCTCCAGAGGACACCAGGACAGGACAGCTTTTAACTTCAGCTTGTTTTCAGTTTCTTCGACAAATTCCAGCTTTCATTTTTTCATGTTTCTGTGCTTTAAAATGAGTGTTTCCTTATTTAACTTAARCTGAACTCATTTAGTCCAACTCTAACTTACAAATGAGAACTGCAACCAGTTACGACTGGGGTCCAAGCCCGTTCATTCAAGTCAACTTTGGCTCAAGTTGTTTCCAGCATCCTGTCGACCTTGTGGACCACAGAATTATAGCATYWTGGGGAGTTTTCATYAGGTCTGTTTGAGGGCCAGTTTGCTACAGGATTTGTTGAGCCTGGGTGTGCCTACAACTGGTTCTCATCAATCAACCAAAAGTGTCTTTATTTTTGGTTCTAACAGTTTTGGATCTACCTCAGCAGTGGTTCCAGGCATGTCAAGCTAAGTATTGAATTTACAACGGAGCTTTTGTGAATATGGGTCTTCTGCTCCGCAGAAGTGTTCCCCCCGCACCACGGGCTTAAACTATGGGGTGCCGTTTGTAAAGTTACACAGTCAAAAATTACCACCAGTATTTTTGTTTTATTTAGCCTTTTATAAGAACAGATTTATTTTTCAAAGTCAGTTTTTCACCATATGATTCATACATTTATAAATGTCATAGTTTATAAACTAAATATTTAATTTACAAATTAAATAT